AAATTAGCATAAGAAATCAGAGAGAACATGTTTGCCCAATTAGGCTGAAAGAAGCAGACATGAGCACAGAAAAATGAAAATTATCTGAAAAAAGCTGAAATTTGCAAGAAAAAAAGAAGAAAACAGCTGAAAAGTAGCTTAAAAGGCAGAAAGAAGCTAAAATTATAAAACAAAATGGAGGGAGCACATTTTTTGCTGAATTAGGCCTAAAAAGGTTGAAGTGAGAGCAAAAAATTGTGGAATAACTGAAAAAGCAAAAATTAACATAAAACAACTGAAAGTAGCTGAAATAGTAGAAAAAGTTGAAACTTGCAGAAATAAGCTGAAAAGAGCATAACTGGCTGAGATTAGCAGAAATAAGTTAGAAGAAGCACAAAAATGTAGTTAGCAAAAATAATTAGAAAGGATCACAAAAAGAGCTGAAAAAACATCTGAAATTAGCTGAAAGTAGCTGAAAAAATGTCTAAATTTGCACAAAGAAGCCGAACTAGAACTTGCTATGACTCAGCCAATTTTATAATCACTGAGCTAAATTTCAGCTTGGTACTGGCTGAACATTATCTCCAACACATATTTTTAGTAGAATAGATTGCACAAAGTTTTGATTGATTCTTTGGTGTCAAATTTGTCTATTAGCAAAATATCACCACTGAACGGATTTTAGTGAAACTTTCAGAACTTTATTTGTTGTATATTTAGAACTCATCACCATGGCTGACACAGGTAAGCAACACTAGCTAAAACAACAACAAAAATGTCTATAACTCAGTCAGTTTTACAGATTTTGCACCACATCTGAGATGAATATTTAATGACAGATCTCTGTCTGTGGGTCAAAACATTGACTCGGTCCAGTATCCATAATGAGTCTGAACTCTGCCACAGAATTTTCTCGGTCTTGCACAAAGTGAAGCAGGTGATTCATGACTAAATGACATTTGTGCACACTTCCTGAGGAAGTCGATGAGGAAACAACAGATAAACTACATCCTTGTGTTTATTGTCACATACTGCATGTAGAGGGAAAAGTGTCATGACGTTGTGAGATTTTTCTTTTTTCTGCTAACCTGCTGTCCGTATGGTACCATAAGGTGAGACAGGATGAGGCAGGGTTCAGCCTGATCCATTCGGATAGCACCTGCGCCACACTGGGATGGTTCTGGTGCCGTGCAGAGCTCAATAAAAACCAACCTACATGCAACGAAAAACAAAAATCAATGTTTATATGGATAAATAAATATATGTAGAATGCAGTGAGAGATTAATAAAGCCTCAGCTCTTCAAGAGAAAATTACTTGTTTGTCAGTAAATGTCATTAAGCATCGGTGCTAAACCTAAAAATCAAAACGAGTTGCCACATATTTACATTTTCTTACGCGCTTCAGACAGAAAAAAATCTTTGCAAAGCAGGGAGGAGATAAAACTCTTAATGGGACATAAGTCAGGGACAAAAAGAGAAGTTAAATTGGGAAAGACGCTGCTGAGAGCAGTGAGAGTGAACCTTAAACCCAGTGTTTGTACTTTGACACATTATTGTGTTTTTTTACACTGTAAAAAGTATCTTTCCTCAAGGTTTAATTAAGGTACTGGTTGTGCACATGTAGACATAAGCTTAAACTTCAAATTGTAGGAAAAAACAGGGATGCACATTTGATTAACCTTCACTGTAAGCAGCAAAAATTAAACCTTCGTACATGGATGGAATAACAGGACGAACTCTGTCATTTCTCAACATAAGATTGTATTAGTCTGAAAATCTGTGATAAAAAATAAAGGGGGATAAAATCATTTAAAGATGATTCAGTTCACTACTCTTAGCAAATAGATTAAAAAGTATTAGTAACTATCTTTGTAAGCATGTTCTCAGGTCACATCCAGGGCCTAAAACTTTTGCACCGTGTTGCATAATTGTGATAGTACCATCTGAGGTCTGAGTGGTATGGTCTGTTGGTGGACCATGGGATCCTCCATGGGACTGAACCCACTCGTGTCCATCTTCCTTCAGGATGTTGACCCAGTTGCATTGTCCAGACTCAAAGTCACAGCTGGCAGGAGGATGGCAGGTCCCCTCACTCACAGAAAAATCATCTAGTTTTGTTGAATCAGTAGAGCCTGGTGAACGGGTTGCTTGAAACACAACCTAGAAAATATGTGGGGAAAACAAAACTATGGGGATTAAGATGCTTAGTAAGGGACACTTTGATTGTAGAAAATAACATTATTATTTAATTATCAGTTTACAAAGAAATTAGCAGGTGAAGACACGGTGACTTCTGCCACCTCCCAGCCTGTGGAGGGGGATCCAGACCGGTGCCAAAGAGCTTGGCCAAGCATCCCACTTCTCAGAACATGGACGGCAAGACTGCTTGAAGGATCAGCAGATAACTGGTACCTAAAAAAAGCAGACTCATCCATTCACATTTAAACATGAATCAGAACAATGTGTGTGACTGTGAGGTGGGAGTGGACTTACCAGAAGCGCACACACATCTCTTTGACTGAAGTAAACTCTGGTGACAGCAGCTCAGCTACCTCAGGGTGTGTAGACTCTGAACTCATCACAGTCATGTAGAAACCTAAAAGAACAATAAGTTTTGTTGTTGTCAGGTGTTTTGTTTTATATACATATATATATATATATATATATATATATATATATATATATATATATATATATATATATATATATATATATATATATATATACATCATGACTTGGCACTATATAAATAAACTGAATTGAATTGATATATACATTCGGGATGGGGCCAGTCCGATCCGGTATCGGTATCGGCGTCCGATACCAGCATAATTTACGTATCGGATTTTTCCGATCCAACCTGAAGAGATTTCCGATCCATGACGCATGTCTGTCTCCAAGTAAAACGTCTCCACATGTGATTCCCTGCCTGCTGTTCTGCAAGTTGGCGTCAAACTATGGAATGGATTTCCTGAACGGAGGCGTGTCTCATGAAACCCAGAGTAATAAGACCCGCCTCACATTAAGAAAATCCATTTCATAGTTTTCAGCTAGCTAAAACATGCAGTAGCACTGTGGTTAACGGCTAACCAACGTTTCATTGTAACTTGTCTGCTGTGTGGAAGTATTTTACACTAGAAACACCACAAAGCAAGACAGCAACGTGCAATGTCTGCAGAGCCTCCGTATCGAGAGGAGGAAGCTCCGTCGTGACCTATAATACAACAAACTTAATCAAACATAGCACCACATTAAACCGCAATAAAGTTAGTTTTACGTTGGATATTCGAGCTCCGTGGCTTCAGTGTGGTGTGTTCTTCTTGTTCAGTCCAAAGCAGGCAGTCTGATTTCTGTCAGCCCTGCTCAGTCTGAGCGGTGTGTGTGTGTGTGTGGGTGTATGGTACAGTGGTGGACAGTAACAAAGTACATTTGCTTGAGTATTGTACTTAAGTACATTTTCTGAGTATCTTTACTTTACTTGAGTATTTGTGTTTTTGGGAACATGACTTTCACTCCACTACATTTTAAAGACAAATATTGTACTTTCATTCTACTACAGTTCTAGGAAGCTTCTTGTTACTTTTGGCTCAGCGTTGTGATCCGCTGTTGCTGTTTTTCTTTCCTTAAATGCAGTTGGCCAGTTGTTGATTCGGGTATTACGCTAGATTCATCTGTGCAGAACATTCATTGTTTTGTAAGCTTCTATGTTAAGTATGGCAGTACTTTCAGTTATCAGTGTTACTGTTTCCTCTCCTGTGTTAAGTTGTTGCTGTCAATATATGCACTTTTACAGACAAACAATGTGGTGTATGAATACTGAAGCTGAGGAAAAGACTAAATGTGCATCATCTGTTAGAATTTCCATGACTTTACACAAAAATGTAAAATGCATGGAAGATATTATTTGTAGTTTACAGGTTTTATTAAGGCTTGTGGTATTAGAGGAGTTCTACATGTCAATACATCATCAGGTGGTTTCAAAGTGTTACAAGTTCTGTAAAATCACTCAAAACAATACAGCAATGTACTGATATTATAAAACATATTTTACACTTTTAAATACTTGAGTATTTTTTCAATGCATGTACTTTGTACTTTTGAATACTTAAGTATTTTCAAAAGTAAGTACTTCAGTACTTTAACTTGAGTAAACTTTTGACTGATCAACTTTTACTTGTAGTTGAATAATAGTATCAATACTTTTACTTAAGTATTAGAATTGAGTACTTTGCCCACCATTGTGTGTATGCATATATAGTGGGTTTACAATTACAAATTTGTTGAACTGAAGTTACTAATAAGTTGTGTTATTATGAACAACCCAAAATCCAAGTTATTAGATAATTATAACTTGTGTTGGTGCCTGCTAGCATCTTATGGCTAGCATAAACTAATGTTATTTTAGGGCACCAAACTCAATGTGTAGTGCAGATTAAAGTTATTAACAAAGCCTACTAGGATAAATACTTTTTGCAAGCTCAATTCAATTCAATTCAGTTTATTTATATAGCGCCAAATCACAACAAAGTTGTCTCAGGGCACTTTACAGGAACATTCACATACATAAAAGCCACTTAGTAAAGTTCTCTATCTAAGGAATCCAGCAGACAAGTTGAATTTTGGCTTCGTCGCACTCTCCCATCAGTTTTACATGCTTAAATTTACTGTTTACATCCTAAAGTAGAGGTCCAATCAGATTTGATTTGGCTGCAAATGGATGACTGTGAAGAACGACAAAGCTCAGCTTCAATCCAACCTCTGACTTTGGGATCCAATATTTGGACAAGGCCAGTGCAATCTACAGCCCAACAGCTTCAACCCATTCAGTTATCAAAAGAAGCCAATAGTTTTTATTGTGCAGAATTTATTACAACCAAGCAAGACATACTGACTAGTACTGATTCACGTTACACCTCACGTTATCTACCATATTTGACTTTTGTTTTAATTTTAGGACAGATCTGCACCTACCATGTTCAGTTCCATACGTGTGATCCCCGTGCTGTTTAGATCCCCTTCTGTGCCCCCACTGACCCATATGATTAACGCTGTTCTCAAAGCCACATGAGCCCGATTCAAATCCACAAAAATCTAAAGGAAATTCAACAATAAATGACAAGTTTCAACAACTAAAGTTATGATATATGCTGCTTTTAATAAAAGTGTTTACATACTCTGACTGCTGCAGGCTCCTCCTCTCACTGTAATATCATCAAGGGCTATAAATCCCTGGCTCTGGGTGTTTCTGTGCCCAGTGAACATTATCTGTGATCATAGATGGAATATGAAAAAGATTATAAAAAAAAAAAAATTTTTTTACATGAAATGTACAGACTTTGTGTTTCTGGGAAAACTGCCTTTTGTTCAAATTAATCTTATAGCTGTCAAATATTTTCTAATAAAAAACAACGAATTAATTAGCACAAATTATCAACTTTACTCAGATTTTATCCGTATCAGTGGGTACATAAAATTGCAATAAAGATAAAACATTATTTCGCATGAAAGAGAGACAACATACGCCAACTATCAAACATTCAGTTGGTCTCATAATTAATTAAACATACTTGAATTATTTGAAAATATTATTTTAAAAGATTATATCAAACATCAGGAGATGCAGTTTGTACTCAACCTGAGGTTTACCTGAAGCATCGTGGTCACGTTAATGGTTACTTCTGCTTTCATCCACTCTGGATTTTGTGTTCCCTGACGAGTCCAGACTAAAACCTCAGAGGAGTTCTATGTGAAACCAAACAATTAGTGAATAATAAGTAAAATGCAGAGTTTCATCATCATGATCATAGAGGGAGTCAGCTCGACCACATACATTTTTAACCAGTAGATTCAGACTGGATACTGAAGGTCCGAGCATGTAGTACCAAAATTCAACGCAACTTTGTGACCAGTGACTGACGACGGGGACAGAGATGGAAGCTTTCTCCTCATCCTTTGAGCCAGAACCATTCATCAGTAAAAAGAAACCTTACAGGTGGAAAAAGATGAAAACCAGAAGAAGATGGAAAAGAAAACACAACAAATCAACAGTTTTAAATTATAGAAAGTATCACCTAT